GGGTACGTTTTATTAATTTATTCCGCGATACTAATGCATCTTTCCACATCCAGAAACGAATAAGTTTTAAGTTTCCTCCCGAATAATGCAAATCCTTTACAAGCGCCGCGCCTCGTATACTTTAATTTGCGTAATATATAAAATTTAAACCCGTGTCGCGGAATTTTAAATTCTATTTTCTTTTTTTTTTTCGTTTTATTATCGTTTCGTTTCACTGTCAAATTTGAACAGTCAGTTTCCACTTCCCACGCCCCAAGGATTTGTTCTCCAAAATTGTTTAAATCGGCGCTATATATATATATATATATATATATATATATATATATATATATATATATATATATATATATATATATATATATATATATATATATATATATATATACATATATATCAACCCCCCAGGTTGAACTTTATCGTTCCAGCTTTTGCAGTTTTGGAGATATTTAAGCGTTCCGATACATTTTACTAATCCGGTAGATACCCGTACAAATCATATGTGGATCATTTAAAGTATAAGTTTCATTGAAAAATCAGAATTTTCTTATGAAACACCTTGTACAGTAGAAAAAATTAGTAAAATTTGGTGGAATTCAAATAAACCTCAGACTTATTAGATACAAATAAATTAATGCAAGCAAAATTTCCTTTTTTCTTTTCTTTTTATTATTTTTCGGTTTATTTTTAAAAACAAATTAACCGAACATAAACTTATTTTACCAACTATTAACTGAACTTACTAATTTATTTACAACGAATACATTTTATATAAATTTAAATCGGATTTTTCAATGGCTGTTGACGATATATTTTAAGGAAACTTAGTATGGATAAATATAGATAAATTATTGACGCTGTAATATGAGAATCGTATTAAGTTTCACGTTATAGGTTGGGAATTTATGCATGTCGGCACTTTCACGTGGGAAGAAATTCTTACCGTAATTACCATGCTAATATTTTTTGACGAAAGGTGCACTGTGTATAAATACCGATTAAAATATTTGCGTCAAGTGGAAAAGTGGCCTACGGTTCGTTGAAAGAGCTGAATGTTGCAAATTGTACTTTAAAAAGTTAAAATTTGCACAACAAAGTCCGTAAATTAAATGAACACAACAGTCATCGCTTGCGACTTAATAATTAAGTTCGCTTTAAGGTTGCTTGGTTAGCTCGTTGTTTTATAGATACGATAGATGCTTTTGAAGCTTTATGAAAACTACCATTGCAATTGATCTGTAAACGTATGCTGCTGTTGTGTATTTTAGTTTTGGAGTTCAGTGCGCTTCTAATTGAAATGAAATATTTTTTAGTATTTGTGTTATTTTCAGTTACTCACATATTTTTTTTACAACCGCAGGTCCAACACTACCTGAAACTTTTTTGCAATCTGCTACTGAATCTGTCAAAGAAACAGAGGTAGCTTCCAATTTCGTAAGTGCTATAGGGACAAAAAAATCATTTGTTTATATAAATATTAAATTGTCTTGCACTGATGTTTTGTATTTATTACATCCGCAGAAGATGCGTAAAATATAGCAGCGGCTAAACAAGTTCCCCAGCGAGTTATTACTGGTTGTAGTGGTAATTGAGTACGAGTGAAGGTGTTTTTAGAAATAATTTGTTTACTTGATAAATTAAATCATTTACTAATGGAAACTTTTCTTTTATACATTCTGCCATCCTGTTGATACTACGAACCAAACAAGTTACATGAAATAGGTTAGAATAAAATAGTTTTAAATTTTTTGCTGCCTTAACCATATAGAGTGCAGCATTCGATAAAAGGAGTATGAATTTTTCTGTCGGAAAAAAGTTGGTTGATGCGTCTCCAATAGTTCGGATGCCATTAAATAAGGTCTACCATAATCATTAGATTCAATCAATGCGTGTGCAATCTATCTCCCACGTGAATCCAATAATGTCACTTACAGTTTGACAAAAAGGAAAAAAAATAGAATATCCATGGCCAATTATTTCCACTTGAGGGGGGGGGGGCGTCCTTGTAATCTTCTACAAAGCTTATATCAGAGGTTTTTATTTATTTAACACTACTTTTTACAAAACTTCCGGATTCCTCCTGCGTCGGTTTTTGCTGAGTTGAACTTGCTAACGTTTGGCCAATCATCCTGTTGGCTTCTTCAGAGCTTGATTGAAACTCAGTAGTAGCCTGTGGAAGTTTCTTTGAAAAATTGTCAAGCATATGTTAAAAAATAAATCCCTGCGTAAAATCCGAAAGTTGAGTAAAAAATCGTTATAATTGGTTCGATTTTTTGATAAACACCACCGTCTTAATTTTTCAAAGAAATTTCCACAGGCTACGGCAACACTGTACACTGTAAAATACCTAATTATACACCGATCTAGCGTGCGGAAAACGTTACTTCACCATGTGAATTTCTTGTCCCACGGATCCGAGCCCCTTCGGATATTTTCGTAATATTACCGCACGGGTTTGGGAGCAATCGGATGTTTTCGGAGATTTTACCGCACGACTTCAATTTTGACGTTTGCCAATTCTGACGGCCATGTCAGTGAATGTATTCGTGTTGTTTGGCAAAAATGTACCCAAAATCTAACTGTCGTAGAGAAAGTATAGTATGCAACACGTTTGGTAAACTTTTCAAGTCACTCGTTTATTAAACACTCGCTCCACTCCACTCGGTGTGTAATTGGGCATTTTATAGACGGGAGTAGAAAAAATAATTTATTTTACATTTATTAATTGTAAAAGCTGTCCGATAGGAAAAACACTTTATTGTGCTTAGATGCATTTTTATTAGGCACTGAAAGTTTCGAATTTTATATAGTATTACGTTTACCGCTACCTTTAATGCGACGCCTCATTTTCACACTTTGTATAACCGAAAGCAATGAGATCAGGGGTGTAATATACAGTGAAAACTCCCTATAGCTAAACTCTGTATAACGTGAAACTCTGTATTACGAACAAAATTTCTTGTACTATTAGGTCTCCATACAAAGCTATGTGTTAATCCACTCTGTATAACGAATTTCTCACTCCCTATAAAGTGATGTGGGACGTCGATACGGACTTACACCGTCGACTGTATCCACGATTTGGAAGTGCAAAGAGAAAATCATTCAGGCTGAAGCGGCAGGCAGTTCTAGTAAAAAACTAAGAAAGCCAACATTTGAAGATTTGGATCGGGCAATGTTGCAGTGGTTCCAACAGCAACGTAAACTAAAAGCTGAAAAGTTTGCTGAACAGCTTGGCATTACCGATTTCAAGGCTTCGGCAGGATGGTTGGCGAAGTTCAAACAGAGACATGGTGTATAAATTATGGACAGATAAGTGGCGAAGCCCGTGATGTCGACAGAAACGTCATTAACGATTTGCTGGAGAAGACGTGGCCAAAACTAGCGGAAAAGTACCCTGCTGACGACATTTTTAATGTTGACTAAACTGGTATTTTTTACAAAATGACGCCAGATAAAAGTTTTAAATTTCGAAGCCAAAAGTGTGTGGGTGGAAAACTTTCTAAAGATCGTACAGTGTTCGTAGCAGTCAATCTGATTGGGAGAGAAAAAAGAATGCTAGTCGCAATTTTTTTAAGAGGAGATACGGAAATGGGATGCAGAATTAAAGGGGAGGAAAATATTACTTCTCTTAGATAACTGCCTTGCACATCCCCATATTGAATTGGCATTTCTTCCAGCGAAAACAACAAGTGTATTAAAGCCGATGGACCAGAGTGTAATAAAAAGTCTTAAGAGTCGATACAGGAAAAACATTTTAATGGAAATGACCGAGTCCGAAGACAAATTTTCCATTAATATGCTAGATGCAGTCAACTTTATTAGTAAAGCTTGGAAAGAGGTGACAGAAGAAACAATTGAAGACTCCTATCGTCATGTAGGACTTATTACCGAGACAGAATGCGAACAGGACTTGGAAGATGATCAGCCACCAAGCGAGTGGATAAAGCAGTTTCAAACAACAATTACGTTTACAAGTGAGGAGTTGCAAGCTTTTATGGTGATAGATCAGGATTTGCCTACAACAGTAGAGGAAACCATATTACAACAAGCAAGAAAGGGTGAGGAAGAGCTCCAAGAGGAAGAAGAAGATGAAGAAGTTGATCTGGGACCACCACCAACCATTCAATAAGCCCTATATTCAGTTAAGCTGCTAGAGAAATTGTTGAGATGCCTTTCTCGAACAAATGATGAAAATACAAGTCAAAGTACGAGATGCGTATTGGCATACTAAAAAAATTCAAAAGAAAAAGGCCGATTATTTGAAACATTAAATGTAGTTCTTAAATATTTATATAAAATATTCCTAAGTAGATATTAAAGTATGTATATAAAATAATTAAATATTGCAGAACACATATGCGTATTGTTATTTTTCAAGTGCACATAACCCTTTATAACGAAAAAAAAGCAGTCCCTTCAATTTCGCTATATAGAGTTTCGACTGTACTTGCCGAAGTGCGCTATCAAAGTTAATAGGTTAGCCGTTCATCTTCACAGAGGAAATCACCCTAAGACGCCATTAATCTCGAACAATATGGTTTGCAGGGTAGACCCAATGTCAAAACTATTTTAATCTATCGTCTCGTTCTGTACAGCTTCTCCTGCGAAAGATTAACTAACCGATTTTACGGCGAGCGGCAAACTTTACTTCAAGTTAAGCTAAAATCCGCGGCGATATTTTAAGAACCGCACCTACGAACTTTTTGACAAATTAATTTTTAATATTTTCATTGCTTCGGCGTCAAAAGTTTTTTCTTTAACTGCCGTCGCAAAGAATAAAACCTTCGGGATTATTTTTTTTTACCTTCCATGTAAAAATAGTGTATAAATTAAGTCGTCCGTTGCTCTAAGCTCATTATTGGTCGGTGTTTAACATTCTGTAGCAATCGTATTAAAATAAAAGGGTGAGAAAGCGTCGCGACGCTTGCGCTATCCGGCGTACGTCTGCGCGCCTTCATCGCAGTTTTGCCCAGTTATTTCTCGTCACAGTCGACTTCGATCTTTGATGGTGTGCATCGTTTCCACGGACGTCCGACGATCAGAGTTCGCGCGGTTTTGTCATGTGACCACCAGCTCGTTATCAAATTGACATCTCGAAAAGTTTGTGGGTGCAAAAAGTCGACAGCGTCCATTTTCCACACGGATTTAACTGTTGCCGTTTAGGTAGTCCAACTTTAAATTTTTCATTTTTGCGCTTTTTTTTTCGAATTTCGTTTAACGCGTTTTGGATTTTTCAAAAATTTCGTTTCGGCTGAGTCGAACGTTAAGAAAATATTTTATATAGTTGCGTGTTTTTTTTCTTTTAATTCGAGCCGTTTGATGCCGTACGTTGTTTTTCTTATCGCCGCGTTACGCCTGTTAAGTGATTCTTGATAAAGGTTTCGATATTGGCCAAGAATGACTTAAAACGATGATCGTTTGCTTCAAATTACAATTTATTGTTATCGAAATTTGTTGTAATATATCGAAAATTAGTGGAAACAGCTTCCGTCGGCAAAAGTTTGTCGCTAGTACCAAAAAAATGCCATTTTGAAAATGTAATAATAGGTTTATTGGCATACACAAGAATGCAAGAAAAACAAAATTCTTAGGTGCGAAACTGTAGCAGAAGGCTGTTGTAAAAGTTAGCCATTCGGGGAGTTTAAGCCCCTTTATTTGTAATATAGAAGCAGATATTCAAACTAAGTTAACATATTGCTTAAAATTCAGAGGGATAGCAGGTAGCATGAGAATTAATATAAATCGCCTTCTTGGAAGAAACATGGCACAAATTTTATTACAAAAATAAGTGGAAATTTTGATATAAGTCTACTTGAACGTATTCCATTAATAAAAAGAAATCTAGTAGTCACAATAAAGCAAATAAAAAAATAAAATTTTCTCCAAAAAAGATTTTAAAAACAGGCATCAAAAAGACACAAATATTATTCCAAAACGTTTATTTATAGTTTTGCTGTTAAATCAGAGGTTTAAGTTAACAACTAAATATAATAATATAGACGATATTTTCCAAGTTTTCTTAAATATCTAAACAGAAACAGGTGAACTCAGGAATAAATTTACAATCTTTAAAATTTTACTTTTACAAAACAGAATATCGTTATAATAGTAATTGAGCAACAAAATTAATTTCGTTTTAGAAATTTTCATCGAAGCACTTTTGACTTAAAAAGAACAAGAAGACCTTTTTTCTTCTTATCAGTAATACGTCCTTTTCTTGTAAACACTTTTGATGGTAACTTTGTCAGTTTGCATCGCTTAATGATTTTTTAGAAAAGTTGCTTAGCTCATGTTGTTTCTCAATTCTAAAAGCTCGTAGTTCTAAAGCCGGAACTGCCCGCTTTTTAAGTCTTTCACGCGAAATCTTGAGGGTTCATTTCTACAACTTCATACCGTTTACGCCGCGGCAATGCGGTACCGTAAGTAGATCTTAAGAACTTAAACTAAATGAAGCTTTGGTAAATAGAAAGGACGGCACTTCTTTGTAACGATGGTGATAAAAATAAAGTTTTTATATCATTATCACATCATTTCATTCCTGTCGTCTAGTTCAATTTCCTGCGAACGTATTAGGAGATATATTTTTTATAAAACTTCTGGATTCCTCCTGGGTCGGTTTTTCTTGACTCGAACTAGCTAACGTTTCGTCAATCATCCTGTTGGCTTCTTCATAGCCTGACTGAAACTGGTAAGCTCTGAAGAAGCCTACAGGATGATTGGCGAAACGTTTGCTAGTTGGAGTCAAGAAGAACCGACGCAGGAGGAATCCAGAAGTTTTATAAAAAGTATTACAGTAGCCTGTGGAAGTTACTAAATATTAGGAGATATATTATATAATTCATTCTATGCTAATGGAATTGGCGAAAGGCCCATGTTTTGCAGGTTTATGTGTTTTGCGCTAGAATCGGCTCCACTAAATTCGAAATGCGTCTTTTTTTCTAATTTGTGATTTGGTGAAAAACAAACCGGGAAAAATTCAAATGTTAAATTTAAATTAACCGAGTTAATTGCTTCTGGAAGAAAAACAATTAAGAGCTAAAATATTTGTCTTTCGAGCTTAAATCTTTCTGTTTGTAAACAGCCCTTGCAAATTTTTATGTTAATTGAGGTATTTTCTCAGGATATTCGCAAGGTGGCCGATGTTTTCTGAGGCCCGTCGTTAATTAAAACAAAAGTTTCCATTTTTGGACTGCGCATTGTGTCGTATAAATTACGGATATTTCTGAGCGAGGGACCCCAATTTATTTCCATTTATTTACTTTGCGTTTACATTCGAATTACTGCTAAATGTTCAAAAATTGGGGGTGCACCATCTGCGTCCAAGGAAGTATGGAAATATTTCACGACAATCCGAAAGCTTTTCGTTTTTAAGTCTTTCGTGAGTTTTCGGCGGGCAGCAAGGATCGAAATCGATATTGTATGAATATTCTCAAAAATATATATTATTTTTTATTAACCTTTTCGGAGTACCCTTAGACAATACGCGGTGTAGTGGAGTAGATAGGAGTTTTGCACATGAATGGTATTATTTTGACAGAATATGCAAATTTTTCAACGAAACTTCCACAGGCTGCTGTAATACTATTTACAAAATTCATCCTCCCCCCCCCCCCCCCCCCCTAAACATAAAGTTTGTATTCCACAAGCGGCGACAAAAGTCTTTTAACATTTTTAAACAATTATTGATAATGATACTCAAAGTAATAACTAATATTTAAAATATTTTTATTTTTCTGTCTAACTGCTCCAATTATTATATTAAATTTTTAGCATTGTGGCCCTTTGAGTGATTTAGAAATTGGTTAAATGGTTCGCGCGATATTTTTACAGGTTTCTGTCAACCTGGGTCGGTTTTACCAAAAAATGTTCTTTTTGTTCCGGGAAGTCATTAATTTATTATAAACAACTAATATTTTTTTCAATTCCAAAATTTCTATGATCCAACGACCCCCACTCAGTTTCGATTCTTCTTCTGAAAAAAACTAAGTACTATACATATATATGGATCGTTAGATATTATTTTTTAAAATTTATTCTGTATGTACGTACGCACCGTACACAGTGATTGTAAAAAAAATGTATATATATCTCTTCTGTAGAATTTTTTAGAACTAGTGTTTTTAAATAAAACAATAAAACCTATGTTTGAATAATTCTAGCATTAACATAAAAATGAAGTCTTCAAGAAATTAATTAGAAACATGTAACAGTATTTAATTTCGTTCACACTGCATATTACATATTTAAAAATGCATTTTAAGTTCCTATCACTTATATATTTATTTCAGATATTTCAGTGTTTCAGTTATACCGGGGGATTAAAAGTGTAAAGATTATTTTTATATTTAGTAATAATTGTTGCACCCTATATATAAAAATATATGATAAAAAATTCAATACAAAACACCATATTTCATAATAACTTTTATGTCTTGACGAATCGAACATGCTGACATTTTTTTTTTCACTTCACTTTATCAGGGTGATTTGCGAATGCATAAGATTGATTGCTTGTTGATTTCGACAGATAAAAATTATTTTTTCTATTTATTGACTTTTTCTTTGAAATATGAAACTGGAATATGGTTTTTAGTGGAGTTTATTTTAAGAAGTTCGCCTCAATTTCGTTTAGATCGTGTGGTATAGGTAAATTTCTTAAGCTTAAAGAGATGCTTTTATAAAACAACCGTTTCGATTTCAAAAGACGTTCTCTTTTGATATAACGAATAGAATATAACAACCGGGGATATCAATGTGGTTCTTATGCGCGTCTTTATTTTGATGTACGATGAAAAATATTTTTCATTAAGTACATAAAGGGGGCGGTTAGTATTCAATATTGCAAAAATGTCTTTCTTGAGTTTACTGAAAACAAAAAGTTCTAAAACAAATATTTATTTTCATTTGTTTATTTAGCGTAAGGTGTTAAAGTCTCCAAATTTTCTTCACCGGGGAATGCGAGGCATTTTTCCATTAAACTTTTACTTTTATCGGATGAGACGCGTGCCTTTTCTGGAAATTCAACACCACGGGATTATTAAGTACGCGTTTCCGTTTCTCAAAAGCCACGATTACGCCTAGCTCTTCTCACATTTTAAGCAGCAGAAAAAAGTATTTTCAATTTTTCGATTATGTTCGGTAGGTAATTGACATCACGGCAGGTTAAAAAATCTCAGTTCATAAGTAAATAAATATACAGTCTCACATACATTGCTAATGGAAAATGATTTTATTGGTGTTTTATATTTCTTCTTGGAAAAAGTGCAGTAAGGAATTTTTTTATTATATTTAAAGTATTTTAAAAAAATATAAGTAGGCAAGTGTTATGGTAGCTTCAGTTCTCATATCATTTTGACCTATTTTTATTGGCAGTATAAATTCCTTATGCACTTTATATAGTGTGTATTCGTTAATGTTGTTATGTCCCAAATTATTTATTTGATGATTTAAATTTCTAAGACCACCGCATATAATGAGAGTAGTTTTAAATTGAACTATTAATAACTCCCACAGGCTAGTGTAATACTTTTTACAAAACTTTTGGATTCCTCCTGCGTCAGTTTTTGTTGACTCGAACTTACTAACCTGTTAGCTTGTTGTTAAGCTCTGAAAAAGCCAACAGAATGGCTGGCGAAACGTTAGCAAGTTCGAGTCAACAAAAACCGACTCAGGAGGAATCCAGAAGTTATGTAAAAAGTATTTAAAGAATTTTTGAGTCATAATGGAAAAGAAAATTCGTTCTACTCAATTTTGACTACGTTATGAATTTTTGTTTTGTAGCCGGATTTTAATTATTGTTGTTTTCTTGAAAATCTAGGAAAATAAATAACATGTGGGTCTTATTTTGATTAGGCAAATTTTTGAGGAATAAGTTTGACAACTAAATACAAAAATAGGAATTAAAGGTTACAAAGAAATTTTTTGAAAAGCCTGTCTTGCAAAGAAAATCTTAACTTAATTGCCCAAGACTTCAACGATGTAAAAACTTATTATAAGCTGTTAATATTGGAGGATCGGGGAGTAGTCGCTCATATTATTTTCTTGCATAAAGTTTTAAATGGCCGTGCGAACTCCTCTGAGATTTTAGCAAGAATCCCATTTAATGTAGCAACTCGAAATTTGAGAAACATGTCTTTGTTTATTATTCTCTTTACAAATACCAATATTTCCTAAAATTCTGAATCCTGCAAACCTTTACTGGTTGGACCTGGACTAGATCACACTCTCACATGATTCCTTAAAGAAGAAACCCACTGTTACACTTTTGGATCGACACTCGTTATCTAATTCGTAATCTTTTCTTGATTTTACTTATCTAAAGTATACTATAAAATAAAGAATAATTTTATATTCTACTTAGCAATAAATAAATAGAATAACATAAAAAAAAGGAAAAAAATGTTTTTTTTTTGCCTGCTCTATATATGTTTGTGTCCCAAAGAGCAAATAAATAAATAAACATTTCGAATAGTACATTAGAAGTACAGGATAATTCATAAAGAATGAGCAATCAGTAAACTGGGAGTTCTAGACACCAAAATATTATAAAACTCTAACATTTAATTGAAACTTTTTCATTACCATTTCCAAAATGTTTATTGTTCGATATTGGTTTTTTATTGCTCCCCGCACCTTTTCATCTTTTAAGTATTTATAAAAAATATCAGAAAAAGTGCTTTGAACTTTTTAAATGCAAAGAAGTCAAAAACCCACAAAGTTAGACGGTTATTCTATGAAAAATTCAATCATGTTTCAACCAGAACGTGAGAGATAAAAAAATATGATTCTATTTATCTAAATAATATGGTGAAACTAGTGCACTCTAGTGGCAATGTCCGCATAAAACTGCCAATTTTTATTATTATGCTATAAAAACTTTATTATTTAATAAAAAAATTCAGATTGAACTTACTTTTCAGAAATTTTGAATTGTTTCTTAGAAGTTTTGACTGATTTTGGTCAAGTCAAATTTGGCCAAGTAAACTTAAATTTTGTTTAACGTAAATATGATCCTTTGATCCTATTCATATGGTTTAGAAATCATTAAAGATTTTTTTAAAACGTTAGGTGAATGTTGGAAACGAAAAGCAGCAGAGAATTATTGTAAAAAAAACGTGCTTTCTTTTTTTCAGGCAAACTTTGTAACCCTTACTTAAGTACATTCTGCATTAGCCCTACTTTTATCCTCCACTTTTTTATATCTTAAAATCTAGGATAGATTTTGGCCCATGATTGTTTTCTAGTTTTGGGAGTTTTTTTTTATTTGTCCTTTAATTGGTAATTCGTTTTTATTGATGAAATGTTTCTGGTCTGGTACGAATTATTATGTTTTAATATTTTCCTTGTTGCAGGTCTTCGCAAATTTTCGAAACGAGAAAAAGCAATACCAACTAGCCGAAAGTCTGGAAATCAGAGCTTAAATGCGCCGGATACGTTAGTTGTTCTCGCATTAAATTTCGTACGTTTGTGTCGGGGAAATAAGTCGCCTGGCAAATGCCGTAATTTGAATATGAATCACGACACTCTATTAAGCTCGTTAAGTGAAGTGCAGTGAATTTAGAAAAAAACAGAGTCGCAGCTTTCAAGATGAAAATCGTCGCCCCAGTCGCCAGAAGAACATCAACCACGTTTATAGTCTTCACCTCGTGGATGTTGATTTTCCTCGAACTTAGTACAGGTTAGTTTCTAATCTCACTACTTATGGTAATGGCTATAGTCGCTGGAGACGTTTAAAGCTGTTATCGGAAGCGATTTCCTTGCGGTACTTCCATTAGCGGGCCCCGGCGTCGCACTTTTTGTTCGATTTTGCGCCAAACGCATCGCACAGATATTGTTTGCGTCGAAAACCCTCGATGAGATTTTATTTGAATAATTAACTACTTAATAATCGTACGCAAAATGTCTGCGGCTCGCGTCCAAATCAATGCGATGCCATTGGCCAAATTTTCGTTTAGTATTGTGGTTTTGGTTTATATAAAGAAGGATTAAAACAATTTTTACAGACCCTGTATTTTACATTGAGACCTTCCTCTTGCTGAGGTTTAGGTTCAGGGAGTGACAGGCTATGTAAGGCTAAAAAGTGTTACAAAATGTAATTATTTCTTAGATTTCTTAAAATTTCAATTAATATAATTCAATTAATTAAGAACAATACCTTTGTTACCCATTAAAATAAGTTTTACGGAACAACAAACAGTATATAAACTTCAAGTTACATTACAGTATTTATCAGTTCTTTACAATGTGGAAGATGTTCTTTGGTAAAGCATGAAGAATTGTTTCTACTCGCTTCTATAAAATGCGCAATTATACACCAAACCAGCGTGCGGAAAGTGTTATTTTACCACGTCAGTTTCGTTTCCCACGGATCCGAGCCACTTCGGACATTTCCGAGATTTTACCGAACGGGTTTGGGACCAATCGGATGTTTTCGGAGATATTTCCCACTCCTTGAATTTAGACGTATGCCAATTCTGACGGTCATCTATTCGTGTAGTTTTGTAAAAATGTGCCCAAAAACTTACGGTGGTAGAAATAGTACAGTATGCCACACGTTTATTAAGCACGTTTACCACACTTGCACCATATACTACTAAAATTGTTCTTATTATTGTTACGCTTTTCCATTTCAGATAAAATATGTAAAAAGTCCTATCCACTTAAAATCAATCCAAGTTTTTTATTACCTTGTATATGAATAATCATGCAATTGCAATTGCAATGCAACAAAGCAGTGTCCAAATCTTATACGAATACAGAAATAAGACATAGAAATATTTCGAATATTTATGTGTTTACATAAACTATTATAATAGTTATAAAGCTGAATCCAAACTTCTGCTGCTCATTCATAGACAATGAATATGGACCGTCAACGTGGATGTTGCAATTGAGCCCTAATTCTTTAAGATCTTAATATTTTGAAGCCTGAAAGTTTTAGTGCTTCATGAATTCCTTAGTAACCTATACACTCAAATCTTTTACAAGACTATTCGTAGATATTTGACACTGGTTAGAATGTTTTTTTTTCTAAAAGCTTCGTGGTATGTTGTAAGCTTACACAGGCAGTCGCAATATGATTCTATCTTCTTAAGAAATGCACCATCATTGAACATGACCTGTGTTGTGATATCTTGTTTATTTCTATTAGCATAGAGTTTTTCTTCAAAGAAACTTCCACAGGCTACTGTAATACTTTTTTCAAAACTTCTGGATTCCGCCCGCGTCTGTTTTTGTTGACTCGAACTTGCTGACGTTTCGCCTGTTCTGTTGGCTTCTTCAGAGCTTGACTGAAACTGGCTCGTATTTTACTCTGTATCTGCTTTTATATTGTTTGAGTTTGATATTGTTTATATTTTTTGCTGACGTTTCGCCTGTTCTGTTGGCTTCTTCAGAGCTTGACTGAAACTGGCTCGTATTTTACTCTGTATCTGCTTTTATATTGTTTGAGTTTGATATTGTTTATATTTTTTCTTCTTGTGGAAATAGCTCACAGTAACTATTCAAAAATGACAAATGTACACCGAAAACTTTACATTTTTCAATGAATATTTCATGATCCTCTCTGGTATTAAGGTCTTCGAGAAGTGCTTTTCATAAATTACGAGATTGCTGACTGGAGATTTACCCTACACAAATCCGAGCTGATGAGGGCAAATAATATATTCGATCAGTGGGGAAATGTATGGTATTAATATTTTCAATGTCGAATTTATAATCGTTTTTAAATATCATTTTCCAGGCTGGGGCAATAATGGTTTTTCTTAGATTACAGTTGGTACATAATATGCAGTATTAAAACAACAGCAAAATTCTTGAAATTTTTAAGTTTTATTCAAAGTTTCAATCACAATATGGATCATTATCAATAATCTAAAATAAGTTAAATATTTGATACAAAATTATTTATATTCTTGGTGTGATTACCAATGAATTCAGCAAACACAAATATGAAATAATTGAAATGAATATTTTGGGTTTGAAGTTTATTTATTATGAGTTGCTAAGGGTTTATTTAATTGTTGGTTGGTGTACTTTGCACTTATTATAAGAAAGTAGAATTGATTTTTAATTCAAATCTGATTATTAAATTGTGGTATAACTGACTTAAACTAATAATATCTTTTCGATCATTCACATCATTTATTTCTTTTTTTATTAATTTAGTTTTTGATAATTATTATATTGAATTCATATTTTCGATTCTTTAAAATTAGACTAATCGTTTAAATTTTCATGTTTTTGCAAAACAGCTGGCGCGTTTTTAGTATGTTTATGTCCGTTTATACGATTTTCTAAAAGTTTGTTTATCATTCCAATATACCTTTTGCGATAATTTAAGCAGGGTATTAAATATGCAACATTTGATTTCCTTTTAATTGGAATTTTACTTTCTAATAGAGTGAAAATTGCCTTTATTGCTACGTAACAATATGTTTTAATTTTTGAGCTAAATTATTTGGAGCATATTTCTGATTAATTGTATTATATTCTGATATAACATGTAGGTTCGTTGTTTAAAATTTTTATTAATGTTGTTTTCAGGGAAATAATTTTCAATTAAAATTTGTTTGACTTTTGATGAAATTTCTATCCTATATTCTAGTTTTTTAGCGATCTAAACCGATAATAAAATAAAATTAAATAAAACGATTTCTGGGATGATTAAAATTATAATTGTCTTTTGTGTTCCATATTATTATTATTATTAAGATTTCTTATTAAAGTTAAGCCAAGAATATTTTTTCTTTTTAATTTCTATAGTAAATTGTAATTTAGAAATCTGTATCTGCAATTTTATTTTTATTTAATATTTTTTTAATAAAATTTTTATTTTTAGTTTGATAAGATTGTGTTGGATCGTTTATTGGGTTTTTGTATGTAGTTAAGTTCAGCATTCATAATTACAATTTTATTTGAAATTAATAATTTTTTTGACCTTGTTATGTTTCTTTGTAAGTTAGTATGAAAGGTTGCATATTTAATTGTTGTTTTATGGTTTGTGATTATAACAACTATGTTTGCACTAATTGAGTCTTTTATTATATTTGGATAAAATAAATAAATATATATAAAATACAAGATATAAATGTACAAACTTTTTACTCTAAACTAAAATCTTACATTCCATTAATATTATTTAGGTCCTACATAAATATTGGAGATGTATTTTAATTTTCTGAAACATTTTCAGAATTGGGAACCAATTGGTATTTTCCAATTCTACTGGCAAAAGGAAAAACGTGGCGGATATGTAGGGGGATTGAATTTTTAAAGGCTGCGCAGGACTTAATAAATATTAATTGTTTTCTCGCGGATGCGTAGGGCCAAAATTTATACGATAAACATTTATGGGCAGGTATACAGCGAAACCGAAGGGCAAACAAAAGGACATTTCACCAACTACTAATTAAACGTGAACAAAATTGATTAACTGAGTAATCACACCTAAATTAGTTTCATTGTTTTAGGAAATTAAGTGGTTTCCTGTCCTGGTGTGATTAAAAGTAGATGCGTTAAGCAATAGCAATAATTTCGACGAAATTATCACGACCGTTGGGCAAAACAACTGCAAAAATTTTTACTTATGCACAAGAATGAGACAAAAATAATTAGAGAAATCTTACAATTGAACATATTGAACAAATGAACTATATTGGCTATTGCATATCTGAACCCACAAAATGTCTGTCTTCTCCGCAAAGTTATATATCTGGACAAAAATAAGAGCTGGGTTTTATGATACTAATAATAGATTTTTAATTAACAACAGAAATGATATAGAAAAAAAAACATAAGGATTTAATATGTATTAACAATTGAGACATAATTCAAATTATTCGGTTTATTTAAAGATATGTTAATGAGTTAAGTCAAATACTTTCTGTAATTTAACAGAAAACAGAATAAGGATGTTTTATGTGTCTGCTGCATATCGTCAGCTTAATTGGCTTAAAATGAAACAAAGAAATCTGAACATTTCAACATATTCGTCATGAAAATTTTATTTAATCTCAATTTCTCGATTTTGCTAAGAGGGCGGCTTATTCCTAGAAGTACCACCTTGTAAACGTAAGGTACAGAAACACTAACGATGCGACAGCATTTATTATTATTCTTATTTTTATAAATAAATTTCTCTGGCAATATTAAGAAGCACTTACTTTTGTTTTCGAATTCTACTGAAAAATTGGCTCGTTATGATTTCCATTTGACACTACATGAGTTTTAATAACGTCGAAATAAAAAACGCTATAATAAACGGGATGCCTTATCGTATGTTATTAAAAACTCGTAATTAATGTCTGTACAAATTTTTATTCATGAAATACATCGCATTTTCTATACAAAACTTTAGGTTCGGTTCTAAACCAAACCAAAATCTTGATTTTATTTTATTTCTCGAATTTGTTATTTTTGATATTATAACAATAGTTATTTAGAAAATGGATAAATGCTTGCTGCTTGTTTATGTAAAATTTCTGAATATTTGATAATGAAGTTATTGTGTCGTCCTCGTGAAACACGAAAAAAAAAAAAGGATTTGGCGCTTCGATGCAGCAGTATGGGTATCAAAGGAAATGAGAAAAATAGGTACGCTGAGTTTGATCACGAATAAATCGATTGTATTTAGTTCCGGTGTAAAAGATCGCGCGCTTTTCAATTAGTTTTTTTTAT